ATGCTGTCACATGTATCTAGAACAGGACTTGGCCTCATATTTAAAAGCATTTACCACTGCTTTAAGCGAAGAAGAGAACCCTTGCGTAGCAAGTGAAACAAGGCCGTACTTTAAAGCGCAGGTTCATGCATTGCACTGGAAAAGATGCCACAGAAGTGTGTGTATGCACCCAAGAAAAAAAAAAAAAGGACTTGGGCAAAAAACCACAGTGGCATTTAAGTGCCAACAGCAGAGGGAGAGGAAGGCCCTTCAACATGGCAAGATGCAAAAAAAATACACATTTTTCACTACAAGTTGATTCCTGCTTCTTCCGAACTTCTCAGAAGAAAGAAAAAAGGTCCTAGATTGCACAACCTAGATGACAGGAGAGAGAACAAAACCAGACCTGAAAATACACTGAACATCTATGGTTCTGTGCTATGCTACATCTAGAGCGCTTTTGTTAGTAAATTAAACTTCTTAGCAAGAAAAATACTCCTGAAAGTGCAAAGTAAAAAAACAACCCAAAACATGAGCACATTCTGATTATGCAGCCTTTAAAAAAAACCAACCAACCAAACAAACAAACAACCACAACTTAACCTACAACTTTGGAGTTTCAAGTAGACAAACTGCAAGACTGCTGTTTCAGAGTCAGATTTTTGCCATTAGCTGCTGCTTTTTTTTGGAGGGCTCGCTGGCACAACGGGTCCTTCCCAGGTCTTCCTGCTTAGCAGCACTGAACCTCCAAACACAAACCACTGTTGCCCTGCTAGGAAGAGCCTGCCTGGAAGTCATCACCCAAAGAAACAAAACCCAACCAGCACCAATCCGACTGGCAAGGGGCAAGTGACTGTACAGTACAACCTGAAAGGATCATCTCATCGATAAGTCCCTCTCAAATTTTCACTTTAACACATCACTATGTTAAAGTCTTGGCACAGGAAACCAGAAAAGTCGTTACCTTCATTTAAACCACTGGCTTAAAAATATCACAGCCTGATGTCAATACCATATACTAAGTAATCTGTTTATATATGATTTTTATCTTCTTCTTCATACATTTCTTGATTTTGGCGGTAGCACAGTAATTAAAATCACAAGTACAATCAAAGTACTTTAGACTATTTAGATTTCTCACCACTGTTTAACTAGTAAATCAGAGTTAAGTATTATAGCAGATCAATATGACCTATTTTGTCCCCCTTCCCATACACCACTTTTAAATGACCCAAAGACATGGTTCCACTCCTAAAACTTGATTTTTCTTTTTTTCTCATCTTAGTGACAGAACCAGAAAATTACACAGTTTGCCAACAGGCTATCCGTTTTACAGCCACTGGGCATCACCTGAAATTTGACTTGAGTTCCTGGTTTATGTCACACACAAACTTCCAATGCAGCAGAAACATTCTTCTTTCACGAGATAAGAAAGCTCAGCATCACAGGTAACGGGTTTCTCCCCTCTCTCTTGAAAACATTTTGTGACCAAGTGCCTTGGAACTGTACCCTCCACCCACCCCCAAAAAACTGAGTGGTCTGAGCAGCCCCCTTCTTTCCCAGTTAGTCCTTATTACAGCATATAGTACTTAAATGCATGCCTCACATTTAGAAAACATCTCTTATCTTTTAACATTTTCAGTAGAGTCTATACATTTTATCACTTCACCCCATTTGCGTCACAGTGGACTTTCCCAGTCCGAGACGCGTTGCTGCAGCCTGAAAAATGAAGGAGGAGAAAGGGCCGGACAAACAGACATGAACACGCTGAGCTCTGCGCCGCTATAAAAGGATTCTTGAACCACTTCTACAGCTCCATTGCATTTCCCTTTTTTAAAAAAAAAAGTCAGCTTGTACTTTAATCATTCTTCTCCCGGTCAACATTCACATTTTTTCTCCCAGGGGAGCCACCAGCAACCACTGGAGAATCACGCAATGCACTGTCCAGATGGGGCTGGAGAGAGACTTTGGCTGGAGAGTCCCCGCCTATCTTACGGGAGGTCTCTATCACAGAGTTTCTCAGCGTGTCATTCATTTCTATTACCTCAAAGTCAGCTTCGTTCCACTCTCCCGCATCCTCCTCGTCCTCTTCATCCTCATTAAGCCCCGAGTTTGACAACAAAGCTTTCCGGTCCTCGCTCTCGCTCAGTTCTTTCAAGTCGCTCTCCCCGGCAGAGTTGGCCAATTTGTACATCAGAGGGAAGAGTATAACCGTCATTGCAGAAGTCGCCAAGGCAGTGTACATAACCACAGGAACGTGGCGAAACCTTCCTTGAAGATACCCCCCCAC